GAAGGTCTCAATCAGGCCATATTGGGGCCTCCCTGGAACTGATCATGGGGTCATGGGGCCGCCTTTGTGTCGTCCTGGTGGACATTGGTGGGATCATGGGGTCATCGTAAAGTCACATCACCCCCCCAAACACTGGAACACACAAACAACTGAAACACATTACAACATGCAAGTCAAACCTGCGACAGGCGACGCGCCCTCGACCCCTCTCCCAGCACACCCTGACCTCCCCTTCCCTCGTACTTTCTCCCCTCCTCCTCCTCATCCTCCCCCTCCCTGCTCTTCCTCCTCCTCCTCCTCCTCCTCCTCCTCCTCCTTCCCGCCCCCCTCCTCTGCCCGATCCTCCCCTTCTCCACCCCTCTCCCCTATCCCCTCGCTCGCCCCCCTCCCCTGGCGGACCGCAGCGCATCGGGCCCGCAGGCGCCGAGGGCCCCTGCGGGGCTCGGTGCGTTGGGGATCCCACTTCGCCCACGCACCCAAGGGGTGGTGTGAGACCGGCGGCTCCCTCCTTCTGGCCGTGACGGGACTGGCTCAGGATGCGCTCCAAGGCGTCCAGAGTTTGTAGCGGCCCTCGCTTCTGGAGCCCGTTCGAAACGACAAGAAATCTCGGGACCCGATCGTGGAGCGGATCATCATCATGTACTCCTGCTCCCCCGAGGGGGCGGGCTCTGAGGATCGAGGTTCGAGGCCTTTGACAGTCCTCTGACATTCTCAGGCCTCCTCGTCGCCACGGCTGTATCCGCCTCGAGATTCTGACCAGAACCCACTCCTGGGAGACCGATCCAGGGGGCGATGTTTGACCTGCGAGCGAAGGGGCTTGCGGGGAGGGGGAGGGGTTGCAGCGAGGGGGGGGGAGAGGAGAGCAGGACGCGAATGATGTCATGATCGGATTGGCTCAGGATGCGATCCAGGGTTTTCAGAGTTTCCAGCGTCTCTTGATTCTGCCTCCCATGTGGATCAAGAAGAAACCATGGGAATCTGGGAAATACGGTAAGGCTTTTGCTGCGAGAGCAGGGCGACTCCCCAAATCGGGGAAAAGTCGTGCCATGCACAGAACCCTTCGGAGGTCCGCGCGGATTGCTCGGATCGTGCGCTGAAGCCCCGGCGGCGCCCCCGCGATCCAGGGAGAGGGGTCCGGCGTCGATCCACGGAACCAGCGCGGACCTGGGAAAGTTGATGGTCATGCCATGTTTTCGACACCCGACATGGGTACGAAGAGCATAGGTGCGACCCCCAACAACACATGCTGTTCCAAACTGACAGCGGCCGCTGTTGGGCAGCTGGCTCTTTGTCTCGAACGGACAACGACCGCGGCGACGCCGACAGCGAACCCGGTTCTAATGGAGCAAGAACTGCTGTTGGACTCTGTGCCCATTGTTTCCGCACCCATGTTTCGACAGAGGGAATAAAAACCCATAAACATAAACTTTCGACGGTCCGCGCGGATTTCTTGGATTTGCGCCGGGCCCCCCTTCCTGGCGCGGCGCCGGAGGCGCCGCCAGGGGGCCCCAGCCAGGGGGCCTCAGCGCAGATCCACGACATCCGCGCGGAGCGCCGAAAGTTCATGTCTGCGTGTTGCCTTCTCCTTCGATCCCGCCGCCCCGGATGTTTTGCTCCTCGGCCAGAGCTGAAACCGATGGCGAGGTGGGCGCTCCGCGGGCCGCTGCAGGGCCGCGCGCGCGGGGCGGAGGAGGAGGAGGAGGAGGAGGAGGAGGAGGAGGAGGAGGAGGAGGAGGAGGAGGAGGAGGAGGAGGAGGAGGAGGAGGAGGAGGAGGAGGAGGTGGGAGGAGGAGGAGGAGGAGGAGGAGGAGGAGGAGGAGGAGGAGGAGGGGAGGAGGAGGAGGAGGAGGGGAGGAGGGGAGGAGGAGGGAGGAGGAGTGGAGGAGGAGGAGGAGGAGAGGAGGAGGAGGAGGAGGAGGAGGAAGGAGGAGGAGGAGGAGGAGGAGGAGCGAGGAGGAGGAGGAGGAGGAGGGAGGAGGAGGAGGAGGAGGGGAGGGCTCCTCCCTCGCCGCGCCCGCGGCGCGCGCGAGGGCCCGAGGCGTGCTGTCTCCCTGGCGACAGCTGCCGCGGGCCCCGCCGCTGGCCGCCACCCGCCGCCCCCGGCGGCGGCAGGCACGCGGGACGAGACGCCCTGCTGCCAGACATCTCGGGGCCACCTCGCCGAGACCTCTCCTCCCTCCCCTCCCGCCTCCTCCTCCTCTCCCTCCTCCTCCTCTCTCTCCTCCTCCCCCTTCCTCCTCCTCCTCCTCCTCCTCCTCCTCCTCCTCCTCCGCCTCCTCCTCCTCTCCTCCTCCCCTCCTCCTCCTCCTCCTCCTCCTCCTCCTCCTCCTCCTCCCTCCTCCTCCGCCTCCTCTCCTCCCTCCTCCTCCCCCCTTCCTCCTCCTCCTCCTCCCTCCTCCTCCTCCTCCTCTTTCCTCCTCCTCCTCTTCCTCCTCCTCCTCTTCCTCCTCCTCCTCCTTCTCCTCCTCCTCCTCCTGTCAGACATCACGGGGCACGCTCCTCGCCGAGCTCCGGGGGCCCTGCTCCGGCCACCGCGGGGGGGGCGCCGAGGGCACAGGTGGGGGGCTCGTGAGAGGCCGCCAAGGGAGGTCGTGTCCGGCCGAGCGTTGCGCTCAAGTGGGCTGCTGGCGGGGAGCATAGGCGTGGGCGGATCCCACTTGGAGGCGTTCTCGAACCACCCTGATCCACACTTCGGCGACACGCAAGAGTGACCCTGGGTAAGAGTGACCTTTGGTGCGCGGCTTTTTTGGGGCCGCGGGGAGACAAGACCTGGGCGCGCAAGCTGTTGCTACCGCTTCGGTTTTAGCCATCTGGGGGCCCATCTGTGCCCGCACCAAAGGTCACTCCGACGTCTAGTCGAACACTGTGCACTCGTAAGCACAACACTTGTGTGCAAGGGCCGGCCAGAGATAGCCCACCTTGACCAGCACCTGTAACTCCCTCATCACCTTGGCCCCCCCCGCGGTGATCCAAGTAAGGTGCCCCCGAACGTCTGAGGGCTCCCAGGGTCATCGGGGGATGCAGAATTTCTGTGGGAACCTGCTTGCAGGCTGGTTTCTTATTTCACATGCCTACTGCACACGCGAAAATGGCCTTTGGCAGGCCTGAGCTGGATCGAATCGCGGAGTCGGATCGGATCGGGAAAAAATCGGATCGCCAACGGATCTGCCCGAATCGAGATCGAAATCGGATCGCCGCGACGCTCAGGCTCGCCCCAGCCAGTGCCAGTGCATCGAACCGAGTCGAATCGAACTGGAACCGATGCCCCAACCGCCGAATCGGAACGCATCGAATCGGATCGTACGCGGCGCTGCTTTTGGTGCGCGGCTTCAGGGGAGCGCGCTCCGTTTCCAAGTGCTGCGTGGCGGTCTTGGCGGCGCGCACACAGGGGGCAGGGGGAGAGGGGAAGGCTTTTTAGAAGGAGGCTGCTTTTAGAAGGCGCCGGCCTTACACCTACAGATAAGGCCCGTGCCTTCTAAAAAGCAGGGGTGCTTCTAAGAAGCCTTCCCCCTTCACCATACTCCCCTCTGCGCGTGGCTAACGTTCAACTATCGGGGGACCCCCGTAGGCCCGCACCAAAGGTCACTCTGGCCATGGGTCACCCTTGCGCATAGCCGGCCGTCTCCGTCCAGGTAAGCCCGCCCCGCCCACCCGGCCTCACTTGAGGATCCTCAGCCTGCCCGCGGCCTCGTCGTACTTGAGGTCGGTCAGCCTGTAGGGCTTCTCGCAACCCGCGGCATCCTTGAACCGACTCTGCAAACAGGCCTCGACGGTCTTGCCGTCGAGCTTGGCGCACCGCCGGTTGAGGTAGGGCACGCTGCTGTTGATGGGCGTGTTTTCTACCACCACCACCAACACCATAAGCTGGAGAGGGGAAGGAGGAGGAGGAGGAGGAGGAGGAGGAGGAGGAGGAGGAGAACGATGGAGCGGAGGAGGAGGAGGAGTAGGAGTAGGAGTAGGAGGAGGACCCTCTCCCCCTCCAACTTATGGTGGCGGTGGTGGGAAACAGGCCCATCAGCTGTAGCCCTTCTCCCTGATGTCCGCCGCGGGTGCCCTGGGCGCGTCGAAGCGCGGTGGAATGCCGAGTGCTGCCTGCTAGGGTTGCTGTAAGTCCACTGCGGCAACCCCTCTCGGAGGCGAGGAGGAGGAGGAGGAGGAGGAGGAGGAGGAGGAGGAGGAGGACGAGGAGGAGGAGGAGGAGGAGGATGAGGACGAGGATGAGGACGAGGAGGACGAGGAGGAGGAGGAGGAGGAGGAGGAGGAGGAGGAGGAGGAGGACGAGGAAGAGGAGTCTTTCAACTCAGCGTGCACCGCACCGCGCCATTCTCCCGAGGCCTCCTGGGCGGCGGGACGCCTCCCTGGCGCTCTCGGAGAGGTCCAACATTCACCAAGATGACTTGCGAGACGGCCCAGGCAGGGCACCCGGCCACACGGCCCAAGATCGCCTCGGAATGCAGCCAAGAGGGCCTCGGAGGCTTCCAAAAGGCTCCAGAGAGACAGAGGCCCCCTCAGACACCCGCAGGACGCTCTCCAGAAGGCCCTCGAGAGGCCAACACCCTTGATCAATACACCAGATTCCTCAAGTCACCACTGCTTTTCACCGTCCACGCTCTTGGGTCCAAGATCGGCCCACCTGCTGCCTTCGAATGGACCAGAGGGCTCACTGAGAGCTCCAAAAAGGGAAATTAAAGCCCAGAGCGGTCCGAAGAAAGCCCCCCAAATCGCCCAATGGGGCCTCCAGACGGACCCAAGACGGCCTTCGACGGGTCGGCACACAGCTTGCTTCGCTTGCACAGTGGTGGATTTGCCGCAGGCACCTGAATACTTCACTTTCGCCGTGGCTTTGTAGCCCAGCATCTTGTCCTTGGCCTTGTAGCCCTTCGCATTGGCCTTCTTCGTCGGCTTCGCCCGGGTGGAAGCAGCGCTCCTCGACCTCGAACTCGGCTGCGGAGTCGCCTTGTCGCCCCACTTCATGATCACCTCGTCCTTCCTCTTGCCGTTCAGGTAGAAAACGCCTGGCCACTTCCGTTGCAAAATGGCAATGTTCGCGCGCTCCTTTGCGCCTGTGGCGTCCCGTGTCGCCACCGCGCCGCCGGAATTGGTGGCATGCCTGGCGTGCGCGAACATCCGGTTGCACCGGAGCACGCTGCCGTGCGCCCTGATGTGGCTGCAGGAGTCCACCGACGCCCGCTCGCTAGGCTCGAGAGGGCACGTCAGACGACTGGCTGTCCCCATCCTGCTGTCCCCCACCCGCGAATTCCGCTTGAGGGGAGAGGGGGGGGGCTGGTGGGGGCACAGAAGCGTCCCAACGCAATTTGCTGCATTCACAGCCTCCAATTCAAGACTCAGCGCGGCGAGCACGCCCACGGCTTGACAAAGCAAACAAAATGGCTGAACAGCCCGCGCGGACGACCCAAGGCACCTCGGGATGGCGGCCGGGTTACCCCAGCAGGCTACAAGGTCACTCGTCGCAAGCTTCCCGAACAACTGGGATCGTCAAAATACATTCGGCGTCAGTGCGCTGCTGATCTGTTTTCATAGCGTTTTAGCTGTAGTTGGCTCTAGGAAGGGCCCCAGACGCCTCCAGCATAGCAAACAAAACTACAAGGAGGCTAAACGCACCCCCGAGTCGACCAAAGATGCTATCGAAGACGGCCTCAAATAGTCTCACACCGCCCTATGACTGCCCCCGTGCCTTCCTGAACGCTTCCAGGATCTTCCAAGAGGGCTCCACGAAGGTAGAACAAACCCCAGCTGGCCTCAAGAAGGGAGCCCAACAGCGCCCCAAAGAGGCCCCAGGAGGACCCCAAAGGTCTCCAAGGCCTAAGGTCTCCAACGTTTTTCGCTCAACTTTGGAGCCCCCGGTGCCCTCTGAGCCTCGTGAGAGGTGCTCTGGAGGCCGCGGGGGCCTGCTTGGAAATCCTGGGGCTTGGACCAGGAACACTTCTAGCAACACCCGAATCAACCGCAAGACGCGCCCAACCAACGATCCGAAGTTTCCGATCCCCACGCTGGTCAAGCGCACTACGCCCAAACACCTTCAAAAACGAACCGCTAAAAATCTCCATCATACCTGCGAGGCAACACAGAGATCGAAAAAGTCGCCCCACACACATCCCACATATTTCAAACCCTTGGGGAATCCCACCAGCCTTCTGGGCGTAGGTGGTTTAGCACGTTTGTTCTTCGAACCCCATTCTTCCTCTTCGGGTGGGATCCCTTTTCCCTTCTCTGGGCCTGGACGGGTTAGGGAAGGGTCCAGAGCCTCTACGATCACCAATGCTGCTCCGAGGGTGCCTCAGATAGCCCCACATGGCCTCCAAGATGGCACAACGTAGCCCAAAATGGCTTCCGACGTGCGTTCAGAAGGCTCCAAGACGGCTCAACTTGGCCGCGGAGCCTCCCGAGGACGCCTCTGAGAAGTCGAAGATCTATGGTGTTTGCCCTCTTGCCTGTCCACTTCCGACGGACTCCTGAGACCTCACTCATGGTGGCTCCACGGTCACCCAAAGGGGCCGGTCCATGAGGGCTCCAAGACGGCTCCAATAGCGTCCCCTGTCACGAAACGATGTTTCGGGGTCCGGCGTCCGGGAGGGGAATCGAGCCTGCCCCCTCTGTTGCTCGATGTCCTCTCAGGTGGCCTCACGAGGGCCCGAACGACTCCCAAGAGGGCCCGAAGAGGCTTCCGACACAACATGCCCTGGCGGGGCCCCCATATGGTCCGAACGATCTGCTAAGAGTCCCAAATACTGACGAACCCACGAGTGCTGACTGACTCCTGAGTCTGCTGAGGTTAATCCCGAGCCTGGGTTTGGCGGCTGCGTCCGCTCTTTTTTCCTCTGCTTGCTCCTGCACTTCCCTGGTCAAGGCACCTCGACTGGGCAGCGTCCCTGGGTGGGCTTCGATGTCTTGCGCATCCCAGGCAAATCGGCCCAGAGGGGCCCCCGCAACAATCCAGAAAACTCCGAAACGACTCAAGAGTAGCCAACACGTTCCCGCAGCAAGCCCACGAACGCTCCACGCACATCCGCAACACGAGAACTACCTCTCGGCCCAGGGTGGCCTCTGGAGAGCTCTGGAGGGGTCAGAGAAGGCCCGCTCTCGCCCCTGAAGAGCTGCACCGCGGTCTCCAGAGGCCTCACTCCAGGATGCCCCCGCAGCGCAGCCTAGAGCTTATATAACGCGCCCCGAAACTCGCGCTCCGAGGTAGTATTCCGACCGATCATTCAACTCCTGCACCCCTCCTCCTTTGCAAGGGCACCAAGCGCCCTCACGACTCAACTCCTTCCGGACGCTCCCTACCTCTGTAACTTTCCCCTGTACCATCGTCCTCCGAATCTCCTTTCCCATGCGCGAGAAATTCCCTCCTTCCTTCTCCGACTGTGGGGAAACCAAAAGGTACCGATACCGCTACTCAAGGATCTCTCCCAGGGTGTGTTCTAAACAGAACTTCGAGGCGAATCCAGCGGTGGCGACGAGGGCCTCTAAGGAAACCCCAAATGGGGAAAACGAGGGAAGGCTGGCGGTATGGGTACCTTTTCTTCCTCTGAGACTGGCCCTTTGGATCGTCGTCGTCGTCCTCCTCCGTCTCCTTCTCCTCCTCCTCCTCCTCTTGTTGATCCTGGTCGTCCTCCCCGGCCTCGGAAGATGGAGGGAGCGAGGAGGGCAGAGGGGGGAAGGAGGAGACGGCGGACGAGAGATCGGAGCGGAGAGGCCAGGAGGAGAGGGTAGCGAGTGAACAGCAGGGATTGACCTCAGCAGTGTTTGTCGTGTTCGTTTTGTTCTCGTGCTCCCTCGTCTTGTCTCCGATTCGCCTTTGCTGCAAAACGAAGTCGAAACGAAAACGGTAACGAAATCGCCAAAACACCGTTGAGGTCGACCCCTGAACATGGACTTGAGGGCTGCAGCCTCATCCTTACCAACTTCGTCGTCGTCGTCGTCGTCCTCCACCTCCTCCTCCTCCTGATTGCCATCGGCGCTGCTGCTCTCCAACTCCACCTCGCCCTTCCTACCCTTTCCGCCCTCCTCCCCGTCGCCAGTCGCAACAATAGAGCTGAGGAGCACGGGCTCCCGCAAATGAGTGCGGCCCTGCACGTGCGCTGGTATCTCCAATCCCGCAGACCCGTACGACGTATTAGCGCACCCTTCCGATGCTGCAAACGATGCAGTGCTTGGTCTCACATCGCATTCACTGCTACTCTGGCAAATGCCCTCAAAGCCACCCATGACATTGGCGACGACCCGAACGTAAGAGCTCCACAGCCCTCAGACCTGTACCGAACGGGTCCTCTACAACTCCTAATTACTCTCCCTGGCGAATTTCGTTGACTTCTGTCCGCTTCTGGGCGTCGGCGGAACGGAGCAAGCCACTTGAGTAGTCGTAGTCTTCCTTCAGAGTCATGGACGTGTCGAACCTGCAAGGCGACGTGGGCTCCGCCACGAAGAAATCTCCAAGAATGAAATGGTGCGTGGAATACTCCTCGTTGCCAAGGCTCATCGCCGCGTTCAGCGTTGGGAACACTCCACCGAGCTGTGGCTTCAGTGGCGAAGATCGCATCTTGGCCAAGATGAACTGTGCAGCGGCCAGAGGCGAGATGTACAGCCGCTTCGAGCCCCTGACTGCCGCGTTCATTTTGCTGAAGTCGGCCTGGCCTGAGAAGTCCTGCTTCTCCACGTCAAAGTATTCCCATTTGGATATGTCGTCCGAGATCTGGACGCACACCTGCCCCCTACGCTTGGCAGTATCCAAGGCCATGTTCCTGGCGGGAGTCAGCTTGCCGCCCACGACGGCGTCGAGGCCCAACTTCTTGTAGTCGTCCAGGCTCTCCTTGTCCACGTACCAAGTGGGCTTGATCCCCGCCCCGTGGCAATAACCCTCCACGAGCATGATGCCGTGCTGACCGTCGTCCGACGTGGCCCGCCTCGCCGAGATGACCGCGAAGTGGAAGCCCTTGGCGTCCAGCACGTGCTTCCTCTCTGCCGCGGACAGGCACCCGTTCAAGAATGCCTTGTCTGCGCCCGGGGGCACCCGCTGGCTCACGGCCCTCCTCACCCCGTTGATGCCGTCGAGGGCGGTCAGCTTCCGGCCCAGGTGCTCCTCGATCGCGGAGGGGTAGCCCCTGCGGTGGTAGAAGAACTTGCCTTTCGGGAGCGGCCAGGAGGGGGGTGTCCAAGAGGGGGGGGTGCAAATCATGACCGGCGGCACGTGCGCGGCCCAGCGGGGGGGCCAGGGACGTAATGAAGCAAGAAGAGGCGCCATGAAATCTGGGGAAATATCATGGCCCGCGCCATGATATCCCCCCCCCCCTGGTCATCACCCCCCTCTTTTCCGCCCCCGAGCCTTCCGGAGACACCCAGCCGAGGTAGACCCCCCCGGGGCCGGTGTTCTTGACCGCCTGGCCCCAGTCGTCCGGCAGCCAGCAGTCGCGCTTGCCGTCCACCAGCACGTTGGGCGGCCACTTCTCCACGGGGAAGCCGCCCTTCAGCGGCGCCCCGGCGCGGTCCTTCGGCGCCGGGGGCGTCGAGCCTGTGCAGCCGCACCTCACCTCGGGGACGCACTGACCCCGGGTCAATGCAGACCCGGGTCAGTCAGGCGCCGCAGGATCCTGCACGATCCTGCAGGATCCTGCAGGATCCTGCACCCAAGTCCAGGTCTGTGCGACCCTGGCCCTGCAGGTTCCTGCAAGATTCGGCGCTCTGGCTGACCCCCGTTTGCATTGACCCCCGTTTCTTGAGCCCCGATCACCACCATCTTCTTGTACGCCGGGGACTGCTTGATGCCGCCCTTGGGCACCTCCCAGGGCGAGCACACCGCCTTGCCGTAGCCCCCCTTGGCGCGGTGGCGGGCCTCTACCGACTGTGCCCTGGCCTTCAACGCCAGCTGCTTCTTCCTGAGCGTCTTCCGAGCGGACGCGATCTTACTCGACGGCGCGCGCGATGCCGGCTGTACGGCCTTGCGCTTCGCCATGCGCGGCTTGGGCGCCATGCCTGCCCCGCCAGGCCGCGGGCGCCCTGTGTGGCCAACTGCGCTCGGCCAAAATGGCCTCCGACACGGGCCAAGAGCGATGGTGGAAGCGGCCTGAGAGAGGGCCCGCCGCGTGGCAGCCTGTCGCGGGGGAGGCTCCAACTCCAGCCCAGATTCGGAGGCGAGCCCAGTGGAGAAGTGAGAGGGAGCGGGCTTCTCAGAAGACGGAGGGGCTTGGCAAAAACCCTCTCGGCTTTTGAAGAGCCTTGTAAGCTTTCTCCGAAGCCAGAAGCCGCTTTTCAAATGCGAAAGGGCTTCTGCGAAGCCCCGCTGCCGTCTAAAAAAAACTGCACCTTCTCACTTCTCACTGGACTCGCCGCCGAAAGATGGCCCGGGGACGGAAGCAACCCAATCGAGCACCAAGATGGTGCAAGGTACGGTCAGGAACTTTTCATCAGCGCGTCGTAGCGGCGGCCCCGGCGACACCCTATGCCTTGCACGAGGGTAACGTATCGCTCCGCTCCAAGGGGCGTGTGGCTGGGAACAGCTCTGGACGCTTGTGCCAGCGCGCGATGGGTCAGAACCGGCGGAGCGACACGCCAAGCAACAACTCCTGACCGCAATATGGTTCAAGGTGTCCGAAGAAGCGTCCTCGGAGGTCCCCAGGAGGCCAGCATCATCGAACGGCTGTGGGGTGCTCCCCGTCTCGCCATTGTGGGCCCCAATAGGCTTCGCGAGGGGCCCAACACAGCATCAAGAGGATCCCAAGCGAACCCCGGCTGCCTCCAAACGGGCCAAAGAGCCTACAAGAAGGCTCAACAATGTCTTGAGAGGGCTTCGACGGGCCATGCAACGGCGATGATGACGATGATGATGACGATGATGAAGATGATAGGAATTCGCCGCAAATGGGGGGATGCTCCCGTAACACATGAAGCAGGAAAGGTAGAAATCAACACCAGGATGGAAGTATCGACGTAGGTTTCCAGGCGAGGCCTTCCCTGGTCCGACAGAGCGCGTTTCACGGGCGCTTGCCTTGGGAACATTCGGCGGCGCCCCCCCCACCACTCGCCGCCGTCGATCAGAACCAGGGGGACTCCCCGGGGGGGTTCCAACCCCCCCCCCGCTCCCCTCGGCGCCAGCGCTGGCGCCCGCGGCGCTGGCGGCCGCCAGCAGCGCCGACGGCGGGGACGCAGTGACGATGAACAGAGAGGGCCCAGGAGGGGAGGGGGGATTCCAAACGCCCCCCCCCCCGCGCCGGCGCACGCGCTGGCGCTGGCGGCGCCCGCAGCGCCGACGGCGGGGACGCAGCGACGATTACCAGAGGGGGCCCAAGAGAGGGCACCACCACCATCACACCATTACCACCACCATCACCACAAACCGCCACACCATTACCACCACAATCACCACCACGGCCACAATCACAACCATCACCACCACCACCACCACAAACCGAAACACCACCACCATTACAACCACCACCACCACTACCACCACCACCACCACCCAACACCCACCACCATCACCGCCAGCGCCGCGACCGTCAGCACCACACCACAACCAACACCACAGCCCACCACCACAACCGCCACCACCACAAAACACCACCACAACCACCACCACAATTACCACCACAACCACAACCACCACCACCGCAACTCACCACCACCACCACAACCCACCACCACTACCACCACCACCACAATCTTCCACACCACCACCACCACAATCGCCACAACCATCACCCCTACCAGCAGCACAACTCACGACCACCACCACAAGCCACCATACCACCACCACCACCGCCACCACCACCACCACCACCCACCAGCACCAACTCCACAAACCACCGCCACCACCATCACCAGCACCAGCACCAGCACCAACGCAACAACCACCATGACCACCACCACCACCACCACCACAACCCACCACACCACCACCACCACCACAACCGCCATCACGCCACCACCAAACCACCACCACCACCATCACCCACCACCACCACTACAACCACCACCACCACAACAAACCACAACACCACCACCACCACAACCACAACCACCGCCACCACCACCACCACAACCCACCACCACCACGACCACCACCACAACAAACTACCCCTCCACCACCACCACCACCACAAACCACCACCACAACCACCACCATCACCACAAACCACCACCACCACAACCACCACCACCACCGCCACCACCACCACCACAACACATTACCACCACCACCACAACCACTACCACCACCACAACCACCACGACAAACCACAATACCACCACGGCCACCACCGCCACCGCCACCTTAACCCACCACCACCGCCACAACTACCACCACCACCACCACAAACCACCGCACCACCACCACCACCGCCACCACCACCACCACAACCTGCAACCACAACCTGCCCCCACAACCACCACCGCCACCACCACCAACCACACCACCGCCACCACCACCACCACCGCCACAACCACCACCACCACAACCCACCACCACCACCGCCTCAGAGAGGCCCCGAGAGTCGCCCAAGAGGCGCCCAGGAGGCTGCACAAATGCCATTCAAAGGCCCCCGAAAGCCCTCCGACGAGACCCCAAGATGCATCCATTAGGACTCTGACCCAATACCAAGGCACGGTGGCGGAGCGTCGTCGTCGTCGTCATCGTCGTCGCCGTCGTCCTCGTCGACGCTCCCTGCCGCCGCCGCCCGCCGCCGCAGGCGCCGGCGCCGGCCCAGAAAAGGAATTCGTCGTCCCGCCGCCGCCGCCAGCCGCCGCCGACGCAAGCGCCGGCCCAAGGAGATGGAGAGAGGAGAAATGGGGGAGGAGAGGACGGGGAGGGGGGTGGCAGGGGGGGGGTCGAACCTCCCCCCCCCTCTATCCAGGGGAACGGGGGCGGTGCGGTTCCAACCCCCCCGCCCTCCAAGCGACCACGGAACGCGCTCTTTCCTCGGTGCGGATGCTCGCACTCAGGATGTCGAAGCCGTCCGCGTTGGAGCCCATGAGCTCGCTCGTGCGCTTGAGCGGGGTGTGCGCGTTGGGCAAACTCTCGGAGCTGACGTTCTCCATCGAGGAGCTGTCGCGTTCCATGTTCGAGCCCATGCGCGCGTCGTGCGTGCGCTTCTGCGCCATCTTCTTACAATTGTTCCGCTTCTTCACAGCATCCGAGCTCCGTATCAGGAGGCTCGCGTCGGCGTTGCCCTGGGAGCACTCGGCACCGGGCACGAGCTCCGCCTTAAGCTCGGCCAACACAGTCGCCCACCAGTCCTCCCGCCCCAATCCACCAACGCGACGTGAGCAGACTCGAAGATCAGGTCGGGGCGCCGGCGGAGGTCCGCGATCTCGACCGCGAGCGCCTGCAGCGTCTCCTTGGTGCCGTCATGTGCCTCACCGGGCGGGTGGAATACGGTGCTGCGCTGCTGCTGCTCGATGGTCTTGATGCGCTGCGCTATCCCCGAAACCCTCTCGATTAGCTCGTCGTTAAAGCGCTTCTGGTTGCGCGCCGGCCGGTCAGGCGCGCGCTCGCCCATCACTGCGCGGCCAACATCGGCATCGGGAGGCCGTTGCTGCACCGCGACGCCCAAGTCATCCGCTCGCCGATGCAGCGCGGAGGTGATCTGGTAACACTCCTCGAACCGCCCAGCGAAATCACCCAGCAATGGCTTGACGAACAACGACATCTTCTCTGTGATGTCTGGCACGAAACATTCAGTGAACTGCTGCCGAGGTTCGTGGTCCACCTCGATCTTCACCAGCGTCTTGTGGTTCGCATCCGCGTCCGCGTCCAGGCGCGGTCCGCATGGAGCTTCGTCGGCCACTCCGTGAGGGGCTTCAGCAGCAAGCCCCACTGCCGCCGTTCAGGCAAATACGGAACGAAATCCATCTTGCAAGCGCGCTGTCGTCGATGGCGAGTCTCACTCGCACCGCGGGCCCTGCGCTGACGAAGAGCCGCCGGCGCCAACGAAAAACACCAAGCCGAAAAGGAGGGAGCCGCGTCAGCCACGCATGACGGGACTCATACAGCGGCCGCCAAGACAAACACCACCTCATTCGCGATGACCGGTTCATCATCGCCAGAAGGCCTCATTGCTCCATTGGGCTCCGTGCTTGCGGAGATGACCACCCCCTCGCGACTGGGAGGAAAGCTCGCGGGCGTGCGGCGCGGCTGCGAGCTGCGGCTCAAGCGACCCGAGCAAAAATGGCAACGGGTGCTGGGGGGGAAGAGAAGGACGAGGAGGAGGAGGAGGAGGAGGAGGAGGAGGACATGGCCCCAGAGGAGGACGAGAAGGAGAAGGACGAGAAGGAGAAGGAGGAGGAGAAGGAGAAGGAGAAGGAGGACGAGAAGGAGGAGGAGGACGAGAAGGAGAAGGACGAGAAGGACGAGAAGGAGGAGGAGGAGGAGGAGGAGGACAGGGCCCCAGAGGGCGACCGACGACGGTGGGATGACTAGCCCTCGGTCAGCGCGGTGGCAAGGGCAGGCGGGGCGCGCCTGCGCAGCGGCTTGAGCCGCGGGCGGGCGCCCTCTCTCCTGCTGTGCGAAGGGTCGAACGCCGCCAGCGCTTTCATGCATGATGAGACATGCGCGGAATGCCAACATACTAGACGCCTGACAAGGGAGAAGAGAGACCAAGCGAGAGCAGGGAGAAGCCAGAGGCACGGGCACCAGCAGGCGCGCTGATGAGACAGCAGCAAGCGAAGCCTTGACATTACTCACGCTAAACACAAGCACGCGCTGCAAAGTGCATGGAGAGGCATGCCCGCAGAAAGTGCACTACTCTGTGGCCCACCTACACCGCCGAGTCGCACAGCAGGCGCCACTGAAAGTTGGGGGCATGCGCCCTGACGCGCTGGATGGCCATGAACATGGAATCTAGGTGTTGGGGACTGGCAGGGGCCCCGATGCAACGCGGCCTGCGTCGCAAGGTGGAGAGGAGCGAAGTTGATCCAGTTGCTCTCTGGAGCCTCGGGATGCCAATTTGGGGCGCCTCAGGGATCGCGCGCCTCTTGCCGAATCCTCCATCGCGCAAGAAGTCTCCGAGGACCTCTCGCAAACGCGTGCCCCTCCACCCATGCGCATCGCTATATCCTCGTCTCCGAACTCCTCCAAAAGGCGTCCTAAAGGGGGGCGAAGGCGGGCGACGCGCCGGCTGCTCGGCGCATCGAGGCGCGAGCGGCTGACTCCAGCGCACGAGCGTGCACGGGGAATCCGCGGGACCTGAAATTCTCGAGAACGGCCCGGGGGGCGCCGAGTCAGCGAAGAACGGTATCAAATCAACTTTTTCGCTGTCGGGGGCGCCTGTCCCTGGGCGGCTGGGAAGTCTACACCTCTTCTGAAGGGGCCCTGGGACACACAAATAAATACACACAAATAAAAGGATTCCCCATATCTTCCCATATTTTCTGGGGTTCTGTCTTCCCCCCCACTTCCCATCTTTTCCCATATGTTCTGGGAATCGACGATTGATTGTGTCTGTGTGTTTCTTCTCCTCCTGGGAATCCCCGGGACCTGCAACTCTCGAGAACGGCCCGGGGGGCGCCGTTGCCCGGGGCATCTGCCGGACGCTGCCGCGCAGACCGCGCGGCCTGCGGAGTGCTCCGCACGCTGGCGGCCAAAGCTCCGCGCGCCGAAGGGCAAGAGAGAAACAGAGGAGGCGAGCGCGCGGGCGGCAGCAAAGGCACCAGGGCCCACGGCCCAAGCGCCTCACTTCTCTCGCTCCGTCGCGGCAAGTGTCAGGAGGGGACAAAAAACACACAGAGACACAATGAAACGTCGATTCCCCAGAACACATGGGAAAAGATGGGAAGTGGGGGGGAAGACAAAAGCCCAGGAAATATAGGAAAATGTGGGGAATCTTTTTATTTGTGTGCATTTATTTGTGTGTCCTGGGGCCCCTTCAAAAATGCGGCCGGGGCGTCTGACCCCCTCTCCCGAGGATGGAACCTGGGTGCTCGTCGCGAGCGGCGCGGGCGGGGCCGTCGACGCGGCGCGCCAAGCCCCCGCATCTTCCCGCAGCGTTCTTCCGGAGGTCGGCGTGCAGAACTATCGCGGCGTCCCCGAAGTGCACGCGCTGCCTTGCAGCGCCTCCCGCGGCCTCCCAGGTCGGTAGTAGATCACTGAACGCGCGAAGCTGAACGCGGCGACTCCGACGTCGTCGGTGAAGGCCGTCATCCAAGAGAACTCGCGGTTAGGAAATGCCAGTCGGGCCCATGATGAGGGCGAAAACGCACCCCCCCCTGGAGGCAAGGCGGCAGCGCCCGCGAAGTCCAGCGCAATCTACCTCGACGAAAACCTGAGCACGAGGCTTGAGTGGCAGAGGTGATGTACTCGGGCCTCCGCGTAGCCCTGAAACACAAACAATGCGTGCCCGCGCGGCGCCGGGAATGGCGGGGCTGGCGTCGCAATCAATGGCGGCGCCTTGCTTCCTATGTCAATGGCCAATGATGTTTTCGTCCGCGTGCCCCCTAGGAAGGAGCCCCTCTGGTTGCTCAGGACAGCGCGGGCGGCAATCGAAAGGGCGGGCTGGTCAGGCTGCGAGACATAATCTCGTCACTTGGGCTCGCGAGGGCGACGCGTCTGGAGCGCTCAAATCTGCGGAAGACAGAGATGGCGCCATCCTCTGGGTCGCTGCCCTTGGCGAGGAAAACGGCCGGGGCCCGACTGTAGCTGTCGGGGAGTCGCGAAGGCGCCGCGCGGGTTACGAGCGCTCGCCACGCTGCAGCTGGCAATGGGCACCCCTGGGACACCGCTGTGCCGATCTTCATCTCGGGCGGGCTGGGCAGACTGGATCTTGCCCCAGCAAACGGCGAGGCGCCTGGCCGCCAGATCAGATCTGGCGGCGCAGCCGCGCGGCCAGTGGGGCCTGAATCTCCTGCCGCAGTAACGAGGCGGTTCTTCTCGCCCCAGGCGGCGCGGTAACGGTGCAGCTTGGTTGTTGCCATTTGCTTGCGGGAGTTGGAGATGGACTGCTGGTCAATCTTGTTCATCTGCTGCTGGGCGGGTTCGATGTTGTGGTCGCTTGGGAGGGGGCGGGGGCCGCGCGCGCCGGGCCGCTGCCCTGACTCGGGGCAGAGGAAGTCGCCGAGCACGGGGCAGACTCGAGCAGCTCTGGACGCAAGCCACATCTGCCCACGAAGCGCGCCGCGCAGAGCGCGGACGGATACCAGGCGGGCGTCTCAGAGACGGTCTTGCTGGCTGAGGCTGCGCTGTGCTGCGCGACGCACTTGCTCGCCTGGGTGAAGATGCCATTGCGCTGCCCGCGTCGAACCAGCAGGTCCACGTCCAGAGGCCCAACGTCTCCCAGGAGGTAGCTTTCGCAGAGGACGCCGCGGACGACCCCGGGAAGGAGCACAGAACCCGCCCCTTTCAACCAGGCGTGGGAGTCAGGCAAACAGGGAAATGGTCTGACAGATATCCACGTTTGGACATAGGGGGCAGGCGCGAGGGGGCTGAGGGTGGGGCTCGGGGAGGACAGCGCGAAACGTGCGAATGTGCATCATATCGCTGCGACTGGCACTTGTCACCTCGCAGGCGCCTTCAATGTCTCGGGCGACTTTCCGCGTGGAGGAGGACCGCGCGAGCCCGCGCGAGCCGCCGCAATCGGTAAGGAAAAACACTGCAGCATCACTGCTCGAGCATTTGACGACGCCACTGGTCTGAAGCGGGCCTCCCCTCCATGCGGGGCGCTGCAATCCGCGAGGGGAGAAAGCGCAGCGGCGATGCGAACAGGAAGCGGGGAACGCCTGGGAGTCATCAGTTGCTGCTTTGGGCCGGCAAGAGGAGAACAGGGTCCGAGATGGATGCTCGCGACCTGCAAGGCGCCACTGTGCCCCGCCAGCATCAAGGCTTGAATTCGGCCCCTGCCAAGCTCAGCACGGCTGCAAGAATCGAATTGGGCTTGCAACGCGGGGCGCGCCATGATGGGGGCGCCCCCGGCCGGCCTATCCTCGAAGGGGAACCGAACGCCCCTGGGGTCGCGCGCCTCGGAATGAAGTTTCTGGAGATCCCAGGACGAGGGCCTGGCTTCTTGAAATAATGTCGCATAATAATCCAAACTTCGCAATACTTGGCGTGAGAACTTGGCCCCGACGTGTTCCAGAGAAGACGTGGTGTCACCGATGGGGGGCCCAGAACTTCGGGAAACCACGCCGAGGCGAGGCCGGACCAGGAACGGGGAATGGGCCCACGCCCTTGGTGCATTCGCGAACGAGGACGTCCCCGCGGATGAGGGCTAGCTCAAAGAAGAGCTGGAATCACTAACGAGGATGGAGAGGAATCCCAGGTGGAGCTGGAGGAGGCCTCTGCGCAATCAATGTACTGGAAAAAACTGCATCGCGTGCCCCACAGCAAGCGCCCACTGGATGTCGTGTTCAGCGTGGCGCACCCCTTTCTGGCCACGCGCGAAACTGATCATGGCGGCAACGTGCTTTTTTCATAGATGCGGAAGTTGAGACGGCCGTCAGCGTTCGGGATCATGGCGTGCTGGGCGTGGTCGGGCTCGCGGACGCAGAAGGGCTCGTGGACCACGCCGGTGGTGGCTGTGAACAGGACGCCCTGAAAACCATTGACCCCGAGTCTTGCCGGGGATCTTCTGACCCGGGTCAATCCAGACCCGGGTCAGCAGGAAACCAATAACTGCAATGCAGGAACAAAAAAAACTGCAATGCAAGTCTTCGCAAACCCGGGTCAGCCAACATGTGCGGCCGCCTCGCGGCCACGAACGGCTCGGTAACCCGGGTCAGCCAGAGGGGGTCTTCGCAGGATCCTGCAGGGTCCGGTGCCGTGGCTGACCCCCGTTTGCATTGACCCCCGTCTCAAGGCTCCCGATCTTGTGGGTGGCATCGTTCCACCGGCTGGGCTGCGAGAGATGGGTCCGCACCGCCTGCCATAGACTCTGCGGAGGGCTCGGACCTTCTGGGGCGGACTAAGCTCGGCACGCCCTTCCTGCAGCTGAGCTGGACATTGGTGTTGGCCGTGGTGTCTAGCCAGAGAGTGCCGTGAGCTTCCCCTGTGGTCGACGAGGTGGCGCCGATGGCGGATCAGGCAGAAGGAGATGGAGCAACATTTGGTCACAGTGTCCTCTGACTTGCACACCAACTTGCGTGGGAGGACGAGCAACGACGGGTTTCCCATGAGCTTCAAGCGACATGGACAGCATTGCCCTGGTACACCCACCCACACAAACCTTGAACGGATCGAAATCGCCGTCCTTGCGCTGGGTGTCGGGCGCCGCCAACAGTCGCCTGCGATAGCGAGGCGGCGTAGCAACCATATCACATCCTTCACCAGTGGATGCGCCTGAACCTGCCGATGTAAATGCTGCCGAGAATTCATACCGAGAAGGATGAACGTCGAAATGCGAGATGACGGCCTGCATGTTCCGAGCTTCGACGGAGGAGGGGGCTTTGCTCCCGAGGGTGTTCAAGCGGTTGTTCAGCTGCTTGGCAGCATGGCCATTCATCTCGAGCCGAGTTTGTGTCGATCTGGCTGATTTCCCCGTCGAAGTCATCCATCCTCGTGTTGACTCCGCTGATCTGCCTTAGGGTTCCGGGAATACCCTCTTCCAGAGCAGACATGCCTGCACATCATGTGCATGCGCGAAAAGAAAAACAACGAACAATGTAATTGGCGATGTCCGTCTGAGTCCGACAATCGGGATGGCCCGAAAAAAAAGCTGCCGGCCCAGGCCGCGGATTACCCAACGGCTCGAGCCGAAAGGCTACGGAAAAGAGGGGGCGGTGGAGGAGGAAGAGGAGGTGGATGATGCACGCGGCATAGAGGGAGGCGGACGGCTCCCTCCGAAGGCAGGCGCGCGAAGGGGAACACGAGCCCCGCGCAGCGCCAGCGGCCGTACAGAGCGCGGGCACCGACGCACGGCACGGCTGCGGCCTCACAGCGGCCCGCCGGCGGCGCCAGACGGCAGGTCCACCAGCTCGATCGGCACCGCGTCGGGCGCTGCCACGCTCGGCATGAGCCTGCGATCGAGCCTGGAAAGGACGCACCTGCCCTTGGCCGACGCGACCGGCACGCACGGGCGGCAGAATCCATCCGCCTTCATCGCTGCGGTCGCGCCGCACACCAGGCAGACCACCTGCGGCATCTCGCGCTTGAGGCTGCCCGCCCGCTGCACGCGGATCTCCGCCAGTGTGTGGGCCTTGCCACTGGCCAGGTGCTCGCGGTTGACGTCCAGCACTCTCGAGACCACACTGCCATTGCACTCCTCGGCCTTAGGCCGCAGCAGCCTGCACCTCGCGCACCAGGGCCCGCCTGCGCCCTCGCGAAGGTCGTGGCGAAGAGAAGCCCGCGGCGCAGGCGGCTCCTTCACCACAGCCCGCTGCGGCTTGGCCTTGCGGTGCGTGGTGTCCTTGCCCTGCACGCAGGCCCCCACCGCGCTGCACCACATAGCCACCCCGTCGACCAGGTCCCGCGACTGCTGGAGCAGGAAGAGGAGGTGGAGGAGGAGGACGAGGACGAGGAGGAGGAAGAGGAGGAGGAGGAGGAGGAGGAGGAGGAGGAGGAGGAGGAGGAGGAGGAGGAGGAGGATCAGGAGGAGGAGGAGGAGGAGGATCAGGAGGAGGAGGAGGAGGCGGAGGAAGAGGAAAGTGAGGCCTATCAACCAGGCAGCCGTTTTCCCCATTCTGCGGGCCGCGGGGAAAACACGCTGGCACCAGTGGGGACGGCTGCCCCGTTGAGCCGCCCGGCGCGCAACTCCACCGCACGCCGCTGTCGCTGAACGGAGCAGAACTGTGCCTGCGGCACGATCTCTGGGCACACGCCGCCGTCCCCAACTGTAACCTCCACCCGCGCATCGCGCCCCATCTTTCCTCCTCACCAGAAGAACCTGTGCAGACGGAAACACAACCCTGTGGAGGGCCACGTGGATTTCTCGGATCGGCGCTGGGCCTCCCTGGCGGCGCCTCTGGCGCCGCCCCTGGCGCGCTCCGCGCGCCATGAAGGAATTCCAGCGCCGACCCACCAAGTACACGCGGATCTTCTGACGGTTGTGTTCATGCCGTCCTCTCTCCTTCGACTGCCTCCTCCTCCTCCTCCTCTTCCTCCTCCTCCTCCTCCTCCTCCTCCTCCTCCTCCTCCTCCTCGCGCGACACCGCGGGCCGATCTCGCCGCGGGCTGCCCCGCTTGCACCAACTTCTGACCTAGAGTGCCTCTGCGGACACGGCTCGGGGGAACCAGTCTAGCGGGGAAAAAAACAAAATCCGCCGCCCTCCCTTGCGGGGCGTGAGAAGAGGGCGTGTGAGACATTTGGGTGTCCCCCTTCCCCCTTTCCACCTCCCCCAATGTCCCGAATGCCGTGTCAGGGGCGGGGGAGTCCAGGAACTCCCGTGCGCTCCTCCCGAGCCCTCAAAGCCTTCGAATCCACCCTCCGTGTTCACTCTAACGGGCCCACGGACACACACACACACACACACGCCCGCACGCACGCACGCACGCACGCACGAACGCACGCACGCACGCACGCACACCCACACCCACGCCCACGCCCACACCCACACCCACGCACACCCCCACCCCCACCCCCACCCCCACCCCCACACCCACACCCAAACCCACCCACACCCCCACACCCACACCC